CTCTTGCTAAGCTTGTCCTTGTTTTTCGCATCATAATGAGAGAGAAAACAACAGAGGCACACATTTACTGTGCCCATCTTCCACTTAATTTTGGAATTCTCGGAACGTCTCTCAACGCCCGGTTCTCCAGTGTCGTGCCAACACGGTTTGCGCTAAATATTAGATAAAATAATAATAGGCATTGAGGAAAATATAAAATATGTGAGTTATTTTTTTTTGGTTTATTATACTAGGGCACGTGCCCAAGTGCCCTTACGGGTAAACCGCCACTGGTTTTTGATAAAACTAATAATAAAAAAAACTTACGTAGACATACTGTGTATACCATAATGGTGCCTCCACCTTTATTAAAATCACCATAATTGTAGGATACATAATATTTTCATCACTAAAACATCAAATTATTTTTTAAATTGATTTAGATAAAGGACCCCGCAATAATCTTATGGAAATTGGGTTTCTGTCAAATTGTCTGAATTTTTGATATGTTGTAGATTTGGTCATCCTGAACAAAAGTCTCCATGGGCACAAAGTGCCAAAATGAATATTTTGGCAGCTATGGAGCTGCCAAAGCTTCCCTGACCCGTTGCAAAACTATTCATTTTCAATACTATTTACAGATGTCAGAAGCATATTTTGATTATTCTAATATATAGGGTAATATTTTTGAGGTCACTGGATTCAACCCTCATGTCAGATTGGACAAATTGACCGTTGACAGCTGTCAATTCACGGTCAACGAGGAATATAAAAATAAATATCCTCTTTTCACATTGAGACAGCTGTCAACTGTCAATTTGTCCAATCTGACACGAGAATTGAGTTCAGCGACCTCAAAAACCCAAACTCTCAATGTGAAAAGAGGATATTTACTTTTATATTCCTCGATGACAGTCAATTGACAGCTGTCAACTGTCAATTAGTCCAATCTGACATGAGAATTGAATTCAGCGACCTCAAAAACCCAAACTCTCAATGTCAACAGAGAATATTTACTTTTCTATTCTTCGTTGACAGCGTATTGACAGCTGTCAACGGTCAATTTGTCCAATCTGACATGATGGTTGAATCCAGTGACCTCAAAAACATTACCCTATATATTAGAAATATGCTTTTGACATCTGTAAATAGTATTGAAAATGAATAGTTTTGCAACGGGTCAGGGGAGTTTTGGCAGCTCCGTAGCTGCCAAAATATTCATTTTGGCACTTTGTGCCCATAGAGACTTTTGTTCAGGATGACCAAATCTACAACATATCAAAAATTCAGACAATTTGACAGAAATTCAATTTCCATAAGATTATTGCGGGGTCCTTTCAAACTGATCCATGTTACTATTTTCACTTCTCGTATTTCTCGTATTATATTTAAAACTGTTTTATTTAAAATATTATATTCTTCAATATTATTTTATTAAAAAATATATTACAATCTACCAGTTTTAATTTCGTCTGTAGATAAGAATACTATCATCCTAAGTCCTTTTCTATTAGTTTTGAGTATTAGGCACTTAAAACTTTTTTTGGCCTATAACAAAGACAAATCTAGGCAATTTTTGTTCTCCATACGGCTTCTTAAGACATTGGATAGTATAGCACAAGCTAGAATTAGGAATATATTAAAAACAAAAAAAAAAAAATGGACATAGAATAGTTTAAATGGACATAGGATAGTTTTCTTCTCAACCAAAGATATTTACATATATTTCTAAAACACCTTATATAGGTACCTATAATGTGGTATTGAAAATTTAGCTTTAAACCTTATTTTGGCTATCGCGAAATATTTTCAAACTCATCAAATATTTCAATCTAAGTGGAAAACAAGTTTTTAGATAAAAAACAGCAATACTAAGAACTACATAGATGCTGTATAATGGACAAGCACAATATATACAGCGTGGAAAATAAAATGTAGAATAAAATAATTTTTGACGCCATTTTAGTCGTATGCAAAAAATGCTTGAAAAGATGTACCATATCGTAAATACTTGAAATAGGGACATATTCGTCCCACCTATCTATGCTAAAATTATATAAATATACAGTGACAATCAAAATAACGTTAAAAATATTGTTATTAATCCACAAATAGTTTCCTGGCTGTATTTATGCTCTAGAGATAGAAAATTTCTATTCTATGTTACCTACGCAAATGCAGCTATCTACACTATTTTTGTTTCTTTGGAACAATGGAAAGTTCTATTTCAACTATTTTTCAAAAAGTTTAAAAGTCATCGTTTCAAAATCTTAATACTCACTTAAGGTAGACAATGTTAAGAATCACTATGTTAAGAGATGTCTACTGTTCTTGAAAATTAAGAGTTTAGATTTATGTTTTACTAATAATATGATCTCTCTATGTACCTATCCACGTGCTTGCTCTTCCAGGAATGGTGGAGTGGGTTAGGGGATAGTCAAGGAAGTAGACAGGAAATATAACCAAACAAAGCGGATATTTTTTGTTGTAGCTGCATATTTAGTACAAAAAGCCAATTAGTAAAAGGTCCTTTAGTAAAAAGTAAATTACTAATAGTAAAAAAGTCAATTTATAAGAATTCAAAAAGGAAAAACTTGTATTTCGTGCAAAACTTTTTTATTAATCAATGCAAAGCGCTTTCGGCTTATTTGCCATCATCAGTGCTCATTGTCCACAACGTATCCAACGTTGTGGACAATGAGCACTGATGATGGCAAATAAGCCGAAAGCGCTTTGCATTGATTAATAAAAAAGTTTTGCACGAAATACAAGTTTTTCCTTTTTGAATCTAAACTACGTGCACACAGCTGTCAACCTTTTTTGGTTTTTTAAATTTATAAGAAGTTCAAACAATAAAAAGTCAATTATTAAAAACAATTAGTAAAAAAATCAAGTAGTCAAAAGTCAATTAGTAAGAAAACCAATAAAAAGTCTATTAGATAGAACAATTAATTATTAAGTAGGTCATTTTATAAACAAAGTCAATTAGTTATAAATCCGTTTTAAAGCGGATCAAATCAGTTTGTAATAAGTCAATTAGTAAAAGTGCAAGTTAGTAAAAAGTTAATTAGAAGTCAATTAATAAAAAGTCCATTAGTTGGAAAATACAATTATTAAAAAATTTAATTAGTAAAAAGACAAATATTAGTACAAAAAAGCCATTAAAAAAATTAATGAGCTAAAAATAACAAATTAGTAATGTCAATTAATAGTAAGGTCAATTAGTAGAAAGTCCATTACTAAAAAGTCATTTAGTAAGAAAGTCAATTAATAAAAATGTAATTAGTAAAAATTCAATTGATAAAAAATCAAATAGTAAAAAGTAAATTAGTCGCACAGGTGCTTTTACATCCGGTACAGAATATGGTAAAGACACTGTGTTCCATTAGTGCGTAATTGTTCAATATTTCTATTTGTGTTATAGACAAGGAAATAAGTTTTAAATAAAAGTTATATGGATTTAAAAAATACATAGTTCAAAAATAGTTTTGCATACCTATTAATTGGGTATTAATTAACTGGTGGTATAACATACAGAGTATTCCAGTAAAAAAATTGAGTCAGTCGTAACCTTGCATTTTGACACACCCTATATACAACATGGCAAATGAACGAAGTCTATTAAAATTATTTGATGATGTGAAAACAATCACATAGAACTAGCCAGGATGTTTTGCTTTAAAAATGTCTAGGTTTAATCAGCCCCTCGTTTATGGATCACCCTGTATATTTAAAAATAATTGTTAAATACGGTCATACAATTGTATTCATTTTTTTTTATATTCCCAATAATAAAACAGCTATATTATTGATTAACATGTTGGTATCGTTGGATAAGTATATTTATAAGGCATTTTATGATAAAATAATATACAGGGTGTTGCATTTGAAGAAATTGTTTAAATTGAACTTAAAATTAGCTATTTTTAAGATATGTTTCAAAACACAATGTAAAAAATTTTTCCAATCACCACTATTCGTTAGCTTACTATCTTATAAGTCTGTATTTTAAACAATTTTTAAATCATTCTATAATTTCATAAAAAAATTAATTGCTTGGCAATATATTAAAAAAAATCTGCGGTTGAATACAATATTACCTAACCATTCTAAAACTTGAAATAAAATAAACGATGTTCAATTTAAAAAATATATATATATTTTTATTTGCCAGACTAAAACATAACACCTTGCATATCCAAAAATATTTTTTAAATCCATATAACTTTTATTTGAAACCTATTTGCGTGTCAATAACAAAAATTGAAATATTGAACAATTACACACTTGTGCAACAATCAGTAAAAGGTCAATTAGTAGAAAAGACAATTAGTAAACAAAAGATTAGAAAAAAAGATTTTAGTGGAAAGTCTTTGAGCAAAAAATAAATTGGAAATCGGAATTAATTAGTAAAAGGCCTATTAGAAAGAAAGCCAGATAGTAAAAAGTCAATTAATAAGAAATTTAATTAATAAAAAATCAATTAATAACAATTCACTTGGTAAAAAATAAATTAGAAAACCATTTAGAAAAACGCCAATTAGTAAGGAAACCAGTTAGTTAAACAGTCCATAAGTAAAAAGTCAGTCATTTAAAAATAAATTAGTAAAAAAATGCAAATAGTAAAAAGTCTGTCAGAAAGCAATTAGTAAAAAAGTATATTAATTAAGAAAATAATTAGTAAAAAGTTAGGTACTTAGTTAAAAATGTAAGGCAGTGAAGTTGTTTTTCAAGTCCCAGATAGAGTCTAAAAAAGTAAAACAATCGAAAAGCAGCATTTTTCGAAATTTTGAATATCATGAAACATAAAAAGTGTTAATCCATGCTTGACCGCTGTAGGATGCACAACGGATCTAATGAGGCCTAAGTATTTTGGAGCTATACCACCAATCACAAATTTTTGATAGAGATAAATTTAGTTCCAAAAACAAAAAAAGATTACGCCTATATTTGTTTGGTTATTTCAGGATATGAATTGGATTAAAATAAGGATAATTTACTTTGGTAGGCCATTAAAAAATTCAAGACCTGTCTCCATCTGCAGATCCTTCTCCATCGCTCGACGCCGACGAACCTTGTTTCGTAAGTCTGCCGTCGCCTGGCAAGATTTCCTCAGATCTTTGTACCGTAAACGATGTTTTTCCTCTTTTTCCAAAACCCATCCTTCGTTTTCGTCCTTGATTAGGATAAAAGGGTATAAAAGGAGCAGAGCGTACACGTCAGTTTGTAAAGATAGAGCAGAAACTATTCTAACATTTAACTATTGCAGTTTTCTTGAGGCTAAGACAAGAGTATGAAACTTTTTGACAGGTTTGCAATGCTTTAAAAAAATCACTAAGCATGTTTAAATGTACCTACATGTAAAACCTTAAAAAACATAAACGTCATTAGAATGAATGTCCAGTAGAGTAAGGCGATATTTTACGAACTGCTATTTAATTATTTTAATCTTAGTAAATTTAAAATCTTTATGTTTTTATATCGATTTCTTATACATTTTTTCCAGAAAAATATTGACGATTATTTAATTTGTTGATGATTTAAGGAATCATAACCATTTACTTAAATTTGTCTCTGAATTTGAATATGAATGCTCTGTGGCACTATCATTGATTGATTTCATTGATCGGGGGAAATTTGTAGAGTAGAGCTGGCAACACCGCACGCATGAATCAATGACCAATAATTCCCCGTAAACTCTATATTAAATGAAAACTCTACAAATTTCCTCAGATTTAGAAAAAAATCAATGAAAGGGCTACAGAGTGTCCCATATTCTACTGAAGGATTTACATTGTAGATACCTATTCATGTAAATACGGCAGTTACAGTGTCAACCAGAATACAAGTAGCTCTCAAAATTATAGAACCATTCACTATCTATCAATCCTAAGAAGACTAAAATGGACCTTTTCACAAGGTAAAGGATGAAAATGGAATTAAAACCTCCAGAACTCCTAAACACAAAACTAAACTTTGCAACAGAGGTGAAGTACTTAGGTCTCACCTTTGACAGCAAGTTAACATGGAACTCGCATTTAGAAAGCAGAGTCAAAAGAGCATACATTGCTTATGAACAATGCCGCCGAACCGTGGGGCGCACCTGGAGATTCTCCACCAGAGTCGTCGCATGGACTTACACGGCTATCATAAGACCTACACTAACATACGGTGCAGTTGTCTGGGTACCAAAAACCCAAAAATTAACGACTATCCGTAAACTAGAACAAATTCAAAGAACAGCATGTCTCAACATAACAGGAGCCATGAAAACAACACCGACCAGAGCCATGGAAGTCAGTCTTAGTCTCACTCCCCTTGATATTTATATCAAGGAGGTTGCCCTGATGACAATGACACGCCTCCGCATGATTGGAATAGAATCTAATGTAGGATCTGGTGAGGCGAGACGTGGGTTTTGGCAGGAAGCGCTCGATACGCTTCCATTGCTTCAAGCGAACATGGACTCCATCTCACCGAGATATATCTTCCATAAGCCATATAAAGATATAAAAGAACAAATAGAAAAGCTGAAAGTGGCAGGTACGATTCATATCTACACCGACTGGTAAAAGAAATGTGTAGGTATGTCTAGGTATATGTGTAGGGGAAGGGTGATGACTGGAGATAACACTCGCTTATTGAACAAATAGAAGAGCCGGAAGTGACAGTTACGATTCATATCTACACCGACGGTTCTAAAACAAAACAAGGCTCAACATGTGAAATATACTCCAGATCCTTAAACCTTAACATAAAATGGACTGTAGGCAATAGTGCCAGTGTAGTTCAAACAGAGCTCACGGGAATTCTAATAGCAGCAAAAGAAATCACCAGAAAAAATATCACTGGAAGGAACATGCTCATCTACACAGATAGCAGACAAGCACTACTCACCCTGAACAGACCACAAATTTATTCAGGGTTAGTACTAGAATGTTACGAAGCTTTGGCCGAAGTATCCATCAACAACGTGGTCACCTTAAGATGGCTTAAAGGTAACGCTACATCGAAAGGTAACCGTCTTGCTGATTCACTAGCCAAGAAAGCAGCCAACCAAATACTTTTTGGACCTGGCCCTTCCATTGACCTGACAAAATCGGTAGTGACAGACCTAATTAAAGAACATTCCCTTGTGAAATTCAAGGAAAGTTGGGATGAAACAAGAAACTGCAGAGCTGCCAGGGAGCTGTTAAGTTATCCTGACAACACTGCAGCAAATAAATACTTGATTATGACTAGACAGAATCTGCGCCTAGTCACAGGCATTCTGACTGGTCATTGCCAAGTACGGAAGCATCTCCATATCATGGGGCTGTCAGAATCCGCACTCTGCAGAGGGTGCGAACAAAAAGATGAGACCATCGAGCATATCCTTTAGGTTTGAATGCTCGACGCTATCATTTGTTAGAAGATTTGTGTTCGGCTAACACCGGCTGATATAAGAAAAGCACCTCTTGGCGACTTTGTCAACTACATTAAATATGTAGGCTGGCTCACGAGCTAGGAGATGTCTGTCATCACCCTTCACACGTTACATATACAGAAGTGTCAACCAGTCAATGTATCTACATTCAATTAAGTTCAAACTTTGACTAGTGAATGTGTACATTCTCTAACTTAACTGATTAAAATTTTGCTCGATAATCCTAATAAATAGGTAAATATTTTAATTCTTTTAGTAATGCTTGTTATATGTGTTTCCAATAGTTGTTTCTTTACACTTTATTTCTGTATTATTTTGTAATCGATCTAATTTTCATTAACTTGTCTATTTGGTTTCTTGACCATATGTCTCGTTTTTACATTTTGTTCTTGCCTTTCGCTATTAAAAAAATATCGCAGCACATATAAAACAGTTTATTTTAAACTTAGGATGGTATGATCACTACCATTAAAAAGAACACTATCTAGACTTCCCAAATAGGACCTAGATTTATCATTGGATCATTGGAGGCCTCTTCAATGCAAAGCACACCCCACTGTGGCTCTAGACTAACAAGAACTAAGGGTAAAAACCTAAAAGAAGCGATTACACAGCTTAAAGGTGAGTCGCATTCAACTGGGCAGCCAACTTATTGGCTCACAGACATCAGAAACAATAGACCGTTAGATAGTGATAGATTTAGGTGCCACATTTTCGCGTGCAAGCCTTCGACCCCAAAATCCACTTATCCATTCAGGTCATTCAAGCCAATATGGTTTTCGGACTAGTGAGAATGTACGTTTTCATACATTCGAAGGGCTTGTGTGGAAAATCGGTTAAAATCTCGATTTTTCCTTACAAGATTACGACCTTATTTCAACCCTTTACCACTTGCAACATTAAAGCCTTTGGTTTTTCGAAGCCTAGTTCTATAAATTAATCATTTAGTGAACACGGCTTGCGTGAAAATATATACTTTTAATTTCTGTTAAGGCGGAAATCCCCAGGAACCACTTGTACTGTTTAAACCTCTTCGAGGCTCGGATACGAAAATGGGGCACCTAAACCTGTAACTATCTGATACCAATATTTCAGCAACCCTTATCATTGGTTGAAAAAATAAAAAAAAACTACAACTTTGTAAAAATTAATAAGCTTTGCAAACCATAACACTCGACTATATATATATATATTTTTTTCATTATTTTAATATGATTTAATTGTTTAAACACTTGTCTTAGCATCGTTTAACGGTTTTCTCAAGGGTATATAGATCAAACACAACCTCTTCTAATAGTCGTACACATAAATGTGACAATGAATTAAGTAAATTTTACCTGTTGCCGATAATTGGCTGGTTGAACTGCTTTTCTTGCCCATGCCGACAAATTGGCCTTGTCGATCTCTGTCCCTATCGCGAGGACTGTCTTTTCGATTCATCGAATCTTTTTGAGGAACTTCTAAACCATGGATTTGGCTTACGGCCGTATCACTTAAGCTACCATCTAAAAAAAAGTATTAAACATAATTTTATGGGGTAAAGTGATCCGATACATAAGTGTAGCTGTGACAACAGCTTATTAATTGAATAACGAACGAATTCTTACCAGTTTTCTCATCTGTAGGTGGTTCAGTATTAGACAAACTCCTCGTAAACTGCCCTCGTTTCACGCTTCCCTCCCTATGGTGATGGTGGTGAACATGGTGGTTGTGGTTCAGATGGTAGTTATGATGCGGGTCTAGAGGTTCTATGGGTTCCCTCGGATGGTCGTGGTGGTCTCTTTCCCGAACGCCCCTCGAATTCATTGTCCTGTAGCCGTACTCGGTACTACCAAGATCAATTGAGGCGTCATTAAAAGCTTTACTAGCAATACTAGTTGTGTCTATGCTACATTTTTTAAATATAAAAGGCGGAGAAGGTGTTCGAGATATGGTTGTATTGGTGCTTTCAACGCTATTGATAATATCGTTAGCAGGGAGGTTGTTATTAGGGTTGTTAAGGAGATAATCATCGTTGGTGTTATCAGGGATATCAATATCGATAGTGTCGATACATATTTCAGTATTTTCGCAGCTGCAATCAAGCAAATGCGGACTGAAACTTTCGCTGAAAATTTGGAATAATTCGTTAGATCCGTCACCGTTTTTATTTTCTTTTGCATTTTTAGGTTCTGGAAGCGATGGTAGAACTCTACGAATCGTTCGCTTTTCTAAATCTACTCCATCTAAGGGGTGGTAGGTTTTTACAGATCCGAAAGTTACAGATTTGTAAAGGGTTTGGTTTGATTGTTCGGGGTTGAGGTATTGGGTTTGGTGCATTTGGTTACTATTTTTAGAGTTTATTGGGTGGCTAGAATCAAATACGGGTTTGGATAAAGTTCTAAAGATGGGTTTTATAATGGTCCTGAAAGAAATATTTTCTGTATTTATGTGGAGTGAAAAAATGTACGAAATTCTCGGTACTTTGGAAAATATTGAAATTATTTTGTATGAAAATACTCACCCGAGTCCTCTTGTGCCTCTAGGCCTTTCCGATTGCGTCGAAAAAGCGCTGCTGGTAACAGAAACAACGCTTTCCATATCGCTATCGAAATCCACCAATCCTAAGGGATCCCTTTCTCTTTCTTTTTCCGGGGAAAATGATCTCCTGTTGCCGAATCTCGAATGATTCGCCAGATCGCTATCACTTAAACCGCTATACCTTCTCTCCCACCCGGAACCTGTACTTCGGTACGTGTGGATATACCTAAAAGAATTATTATTATAAAATTTTTACTTCTAGTTCTACAGACTCGATAAGTAATAGTAATAAACTAAGTGCCTATTAAGTATAACTAGAGTACGGTTTGTAAAAATTTATCATTGCCATTCAGCAAGCGTCATGGAACAACGTACCAGAAAATACAAGTAAAACCATAGGCAGTGTATACCTCAGAGAAGTAAAAGAATTAATAAATAAAGAGAAAAAGGCACAAAATGGCAAAACATCAGGTTTCCCAAAGATAAAATAGTTGTCATCAGAGTAACACAACAAGTAAAAAGAGAAGTAGATAAAATGTGGGTTCAGATCACTTTGGTAAGATGCCCATCCAGTTCTCTGTTCATCCAGTTCATCGGTTGGAGAGACACCGAAGAAGCTCTGGGGGAGTCTAAAATAAAGAAGAGGAGCTTAAGAAGTGGCGTAGGGCTATTGTAGACTTTAAAGAAGCCTTTAGAGAATCGAACACGAAAAAAAAAAGCTGACAGACTAACGTAGAACCAGGGGAGTTATTGAAGAAGTTTCTAGAGATCCTAAGACGAAAAAAGGAGCTGAAGAACTGATAGAATCATTTAGTTTATTCAAGACTAAGAACTCGACAAAAAGGAGACTGATATATCTTATAAACATGCGCAGTAGCATCACCAAAAGGGCATTAACGTATATTTTCGTTATTATTGGTCCGAATGGAATGAGACAAACGGCATTCAATGTAAAAAGTCATTTAGATATCATCGATAATGTCATTTACATATAACTTCAGAGAGTTTTAGATATCTCTTAAAAAATTATAATTTCTGTTACATTTTTTGATATATTTTTTAAGCTTTTATCTTTCAGTAATATTAAAAATATCCCAATTTATGCACGCTATAAAAAGTTTAATTATATTAATATGTAGTTCTTAAAAAATGGCTGTATCATCTTAGAAATGTGGGCCAATAAATTAAAAAAAAAAACATCCAGAGTAGCATTGCCATTGCCAAAAGGACCTAAGCTTATATCTTCGTTATTACCGGTTCAATTTAAACGCAGCAAATGACCTTTAATGTAAAATGTCATTTAGTTGTCATTTACAATAAAAAAACATACGTGGTATTAAGGTCAAAATGGCCTAAGCTTATATCTTCGTTAATTTTAGTTCGATTTGAATGAAGCAAACGGCATTCAACATGAACTGCCCTTTAGCTGTAGAACTTAACAAAGCACTATTAAAGCACTATTGGAATAGAATCAATAGATATAAAATTGGTAGACGATAAAGTTACTGAATATACACTTCGTGGAAGCTTAAATGTCCAATAGTCTACATGCAGAAAATGGAAATTGGGCATGATTAAATGAACAAAGAGCTGACATCTTTGGAGAAGGTTTACATTTCTTATCCAAGAAGACTTGAAAGGATCAAACCATTTGAATTAGTGATACGAAATTGTTTAAATACAGAGTAAAAGTATACTTAGTTTATTAAGGCAAATTACTGATTGGCTGAAATATAGTTTGAAGCAATCTTCGATGATATAAACATGAGATAAATAATGCTGCCTTTTTCGATGGCAACAAAACTGGAATACTCTTTAAAGAGAGATAGAGAGAGGAGAGAGAGAGAGCATACAACACTTGATTTGATTGGAAGAAATTGATATTGCTGCGTTTTCCATTGGTCGAGTTGTTAGAAAGTACGATATGTTCTGCTACAGCTAGACTTTTAAGATACCCCCACAAAAAAAAATCGATTGGGGTAAGGTCGAGTGACCTTGGAGATCAGGGAATGTCACCACGTTTAGAGACGAGGGTATTTGGGAATCATTCTCTCGCAGCGTTCAGTATATGCTGTGGCACCATTATCTCCCCAAACGAGGTGACATTCTTGTCCTCTAAGGTTAACTGACCTTACAACAGAAGAAGTGTCGTCAGTACAGTGTTGAATATTTAAAATTTGGTTTTCTTCCATCGAAGGCAGACCAACATTTGCCCACATGCCTTTTATGCAACAAAGTTTTGAGCAATGACTCTATGAAACCATCAAAGCTGGAAAATCATCCTAGAAGGTGTCATCCTGATAAAATAGGTAAAGATTTCAAATATTTCCAAACATAAAAGGAAAAATATGAAAAGAGACCCACCGTGCACAGTATGTTCTCTTCAACGTCTGAAAGCAACGATGATGGCTTGCGGGCATCTTACAATATCTCAATACTTATCGCAAAATCTGGAAAACCGCACACCATTGGAGAACAGTTAATTTTACCTGCTGTTGAAGAGGTTTTAAAAACTGTTCTGCACAAATCTTCATTTGACATACTCAAAAGAATTCCTTTAAGTAATAACGCTGTACAAAGACGTATTGATGAAATGAGCTCTGATGTTGAAAATTTCTTGTGTGATTATCTACGAACAACTCATTTTTCTATTCAACTGATTTAAAAAAAATTAATGACCTCAACTTACAATTACAAGAGGACAGCCTCAATTTAAAAAAAACAAAGAGTGTAATTTCAGCTTTTCTTGGTAAATTAAAATGTATGAAGGAAAATATTGGTCGGCGCGAATTTTCACAGTTTTCAAACTTGTCGCAGGTAGAATTCCTTGATGAAGATATTCAGACATACGTTCAACATTTGATTGCCCTGCATGATGATTTTAAATTCAGATTTAAAGATATTCTGTAGATGGAAATACCACAATTGATCATAAATTCATTTGATGAAACGGAAGTGGAGAATGTGATATTACAAGAGGAGCTACTTGAGCTTAGCACTAATGAGGAGCTGAAAGTGACATTTAAAAGAGGGTATCAAAAATTTTGGCTGCAGGCAGAAATACCCGAAAAATATCCTGGACTGTGGGGAATTGTGCAAAAGCTTCTGATAGCGTTTCCCTCGTCATATCTCGTCGAAAAATGTTTTAGTGCCGTTACAAATTTATTAATAAAAAAGGAGCAGATTGAATATCACAGAAAGGGGAGATTTACGGTTATTCCTTACAAAACTCAAGCCAAATATTGATAATTTGCTGTCAATCCATCAAGTACATCCCTCTCATTAAAATTATATTTTTTTTTGTAATTACCATCGTTGAAATTACATTACGATATAAGTGTTTAATTTTAATTATATTACGACGGTTATAACAATAATAATTAATAGTGTAATTTATATATTTAAATTTAAATAAATACCTACAACACAAGGAAATATACTATATTTCTTTTAACCCCTCCGAATGGACGTTTTCTAAATAAAATTTGTGAGAATTGATTGGTTCTTGTGCTGTGAGTCACTGTAGATGTCAAAAAAGTAAAGTTGGATGGAGTCACTTTTTCGTTTGGCCACTCACAGCACAATCAATTAAAATTTAATTGGAAATTTGTTTAGTCGACTTTATTATCAAATAATTAACCCTATCAAGCAATCAATTCTAACCTTTTTTTCGAAAACTGTTAATTCGTCGTTAAAACTCAGCCGCAACGCAAGTTTCCATAGATAGATCTAATCTTCACTTTTTTTTTCGAGATTTAGAAATTGGTAGTGATGTAGCTACATAGCTACATGGGGGTCCAACGGATCCAGCAAAATTTTGAAAGTGGTCTATGAAACAAAAGAGTTTGGGAACCTCTGCAATAGACAATCACACGAGTGTAAAAAATCACTTTTACACAAGTGATGTACTTACAATATTTTTCCATCGACCAGTAGCAGGACTTCAAACAGGACATAGCGAGTGTGGAATGTAGCATTTTTCACACGAGCGGGAGATATAGTCGCACGAGGCATAGGCAAAGTGTGACAATTACACGAGTGTAAAAAATCAATTTTACACAAATAATGTACAATATTTTTCATACGTCCACTAAATAATTTCATCAAAAAAATGTTAAATCAGGAAATCTGGCTAGAAAGGTTAAATCAAGATGTGGCTAGTAAATTCAATATTACCGGATAATCAGCTTATTCCACGATCTGTGAATCCAGTACGAACCACTTCCTTACCTCATTCGATTCCTGTTGCCGCTGTGCCCCTCCAAATCCTGCGCCACCCTTTCCTGCAGCGCCCTCGCCAGCGCCTGGGGCACTTGCGGCAACTGTCGCTTCTTGGGCGAGCCGGTGGGCGTCGCAGTCGCGCTGCGCGACTGGAAGCGCGACATTTTGTACGTGGTGGGCGTGTAATCTGTAAGGCGGACGTCCGGCGGCGACAGCGATCGGTGGTCAGTGGCGGAACGTCGTGGTGATTTCGAACGGGAACGCGATAAATGGACGCTCGGCGAGTCACAGGGCGCCGCCGAATGGGAGCGGTGGCTGATCACGCCGACCTGTTACAGATGAAGAAAAAATATACATAAATATTTTTACATTCATACTTTTAAGATTTCATAATAGCAACCTTTAAAAATTTATATTGTACAAATTCTAGCGAATTCTAAATTTAAACTAAACAAACTCTAATTAAAAATCTTGGGGCGGACAGACTTTTTTGTTTCTCTCTTTTCTCTATTATCAACTTTGAGATATGGATAATATTTTGTTTTTAATAAAATATCCATTATATAAATAAAACTGAACATTTCCAATATTATAAGTACAAAGAGTATAAGTCAGATTTTCTTGATTTCGGGTTTTTTTTACTATAGTTCATGTTTATCATCTAAATATATGGCCTAAGTCAATGCTGAGTATTTTTAACTGACGGTATTGAACCCTTCAGTACAAGTCAAGTTCCATATTATCTGGTTTGTATAAGGAGTATAAGTCAAGTTATACTGTTAGGACTCATGTTTCTCACTGTTGGTTAGATAGCAGACCGCTGACTTGTACTATTGAGACTTTTTTTATGTAAGCAGTCTAAGCTTTTATTATTATCAGTCTTGTCTTGTCACTCTTAGGTATGTGAGCTCTACTTATTTAGTTTGATTTTTTTCTCACCTAAAGTTTAAGTAGGTAATAGTGTTTCAAGTGAATTGTTGTATTATTATTTTTCGTGGTTAAAAGCAGGCAAGATGGCTTCTTTGAGCAGAGGCAAAAAAATGGTGGATATATTCAATAACATAAACAATACTGAAACTGAAAGTAAGTAGATTGTTTTTTTTTACTACCTAAAACATTTTGTAAAATACTTCCAATATCAAGTTTTGATGAGTCATTTAACAAACTTTTATTTTATTTTCAGATAAAAAGCAAACAGAAGCTGATGTTATTGTCGATGATCACGCAGGTGAGTTAGTAAATGGATTAATACATTTTAGAAGTATTTTTTAATTTTCTTGCGAAAACAAAAGTCAAATGAAAATTAGTCTGAGTTCAAAATATTTTGTTTTTTTCAAGAAAAATCCATGGTCTAAAATGAAAAAGACTTCTTGAGGAATATTTACCTGTCAACGACTGGGGATATTAATCAATTAATTTTTTGCAATGATGATGAGGCTGGTCCAAGTAACATTTCGGGACAGCAAAAAGTTTACCTTGGTAAGACTTGATTTTCTGATAATTTTCTAGCCACAGGAGCCCAAAATAATATGTTGCTTAAAACGTGAAACTGTATATTTTACAGATTTGGACCATCAATAGAGTAGTGTCTATGATGATGTCCAACACACTCAACTAGTAAAAGACATGGAAATAGCTGAAAGTGTTGGTCAAGAAACTGACGAAGGTAGGCATTTATCTCTATAAGCAAAAGAGGCTCAGAAAATGCAACAAGTATCCTAACTGTCTATTTTTTCCAACTTAAAACGTTAATTTGTTTGTATCTTTTACAGACTTGGACCATCAACAGAGTACTGTCTATGATGAAGACCAACACACTCAACTAGTACAAGACATGGAAATAGCTGAAAGTTTTGGTCAAGAAACTGACGAAGGTAAGCATTTATTTTTATAGATAATTGTGGCTCAGAAAATGTAACAAGTATCCTAACTGTCTATTTTTTTCAGATTATGACCCTGAACAGGAGAGTATTTCCTCTAATGAAGAAGTTTTCCATCGAACACGGAGTTCTAGCTCTAAAATACGAAATAGATCGAAGGAACCATATTTAGAACATAATGTAATCCAAGCTACACCTACTGACGAAAATTTTCCAAAAAAATAAGAATAGAAAAATATAAAAATCGAAATGATGAGAAGAGCTATGAAACTCTTGACGGCAAAGTAAAACCGGCAAGGGCAATGACAGCTTTGACATGCAGTTTGCCGCGCCAAGTGCATGGAACGTATCCACCCTGAGATCCAGAAAGTTATTTTTAAAGAATAATGGGGCCTTGGAAGTTGAGATGATAAGTCAATGGTGGTAGAAAATCCTAACAGTGTAAGTCACCGATTTTCATAATTTTTTTTTTTTTTGTTAAATAACTTTCAATAAAATAAAACATATTTGTCTTGCGGAAAACGTTTAATAAATTACCTATCAATTTTATGCATACAAGGGAAAGATATTCAGAAAACTTTGGAGGCGTTCTCTGGAAAATCATTATATTTGACTTATACTCCTTGTACTTATCTCGATAGATTTACCTGATTTCTTTAATCTAATTTAGCTGTTCTAAGCATTCTTTAAATCTCATTTTCTTTGCTATTCAATTTCGACAAATCGTTAAAATTATTAAAAATGCTTAGGCCAAAGCTAGAGACTAGTTAAGTATAGGTTTAAAGAACACCTATGTAGAAGATAATCAAAATTTCTCACATTTATTGTAAGGAAAAAGGGGAAAGTAACGATTATGCAGAATGAAGAGGCCAGAGAACAGTTATTGTAAAACATTTAAATAATGAGAAAAAGATAATCTGTACCACGACTAATTTTCTCGATGAAAGTTGAAAGAAAGTAAAGCCAAGTAGTTGAAAAATATATAAAAATAAATTTTTGTTGGTTACAAGCTAATTTATTGATTGATATTGTAGAAAAGATTCAAATAGTTCCATTCTCTACATAGGAAACATATTTACTAAACTTAACCCATTGCAAATATCAAATCTGGAATCTCCGTATCCCCTAATAGGTGTACCCCAAATTTTGTACAATTAGGACTATTACTTTATGAGATAATTGACCGTTTCCAGACTTTTATCCACTCCGTATATAAAATTGTTTGTCCTGACTGACTGACTGACCTATCAACGTACAGCCAAAACTACTGAGCCTGGAAAGCTGAAATTTGGAAAATAGGTTTATTTTATAACCAAAGCATCCGCTAAGAATTTCTGGATTTTTGGAAATTTTAACTTTAAAAGAGGGGAAATGGGAGGAAATGGGGAAGGGAGCTTTTAATGAAACTCTTTGTTCTTTAAAGTTAGAAACATGAAAATTTAAATTACAGCTACTAAGCATAAATAAGTAATAACGTGTTTCAGGGTTTGTGGATTTACACATTTTAAGGGGCGAAAACGGGGGGGGCGTGAAATTTTGTATGGGACTATCGATTTTTTTTGTTTCCTTTGAAGTTAGAAACATGAAAATTGGAACTGCAGCTACTGACTACAAATTATTAATGAAGTGTTTCAGAGTTTTTGGATTTTCAAATTTTAGGGAGGGAAACGGAGGGTGAAAATTTGTTCGAAATTATGTATATCTTTTTTTGTTCCTTAAAGTTAAAAACATTATTTGAAATACAGCTATTGATCAAAAATAAATAATGATTTGTTTCATGGTTTTGGATTTTCACATTTTAAGGGGGGGGGAGAATAAATAGAAATAAATAAAAATAAATAAAAATAAATAAAAATAAATAAAAATAAATAAAAATAAATAAAAATAAATAAAAATAAATAAAAATAAATAAAAATAAATAAAAATAAATAAAAATAAATAAAAATAAATAAAAATAAATAAAAATAAATAAAAATAAATAAAAATAAATAAAAATAAATAAAAATAAATAAAAATAAATAAAAATAAATAAAAATAAATAAAAATAAATAAAAATAAATAAAAATAAATAAAAATAAATAAAAATAAATAAAAATAAATAAAAATAAATAAAAATAAATAAAAATAAATAAAAATAAATAAAAATAAATAAAAATAAATAAAAATAAATAAAAATAAATAAAAATAAATAAAAATAAATAAAAATAAATAAAAATAAATAAAAATAAATAAAAATAAATAAAAATAAATAAAAATAAATAAAAATAAATAAAAATAAATAAAAATAAATAAAAATAAATAAAAATAAATAAAAATAAATAAAAATAAATAAAAATAAATAAAAATAAATAAAAATAAATAAAAATAAATAAAAATAAATAAAAATAAATAAAAATAAATAAAAATAAATAAAAATAAATAAACATAAATAAAAATAAATAAAAATAAATAAAAATAAATAAAATTAAATAAAAATAAATAAAAATAAATAAAAATAAATAAAAATAAATAAAAATAAATAAAAATAAATAAAAATAAATAAAAATAAATAAAAATAAATAAAAATAAATAAAAATAAATAAAAATAAATAAAAATAAATAAAAATAAATAAAAATAAATAAAAATAAATAAAAATAAATAAAAATAAATAAAAATAAATAAAAATAAATAAAAATAAATAAAAATAAATAAAAATAAATAAAAATAAATAAAAATAAATAAAAATAAATAAAAATTAATAAAAATAAATAAAAATAAATAAAAATAAATAAAAATAAATAAAAATAAATAAAAATAAATAAAAATAAATAAAAATAAATAAAAATAAATAAAAATAAATAAAAATAAATAAAAATAAATAAAAATAAATAAAAATAAATAAAAATAAATAAAAATAAATAAAAATAAATAAAAATAAATAAAAATAAATAAAAATAAATAAAAATAAATAAAAATAAATAAAAATAAATAAAAATAAATAAAAATAAATAAAAATAAATAAAAAATGGAAATGGAAAAATTTGAGGAAAAGTGTAAAATTTTTATTTTTTCAGTATGTTTATTTGCAATCTATCTTCTATAATATACAGAGTGGCCCAAAAGTCTGGAAACGGTCAATTATCTCGTAAAGTAATAGTCCTAATTGTACAAAATTTGGGATACACCTATTAGGGGATACGGAGATTCCAGATTTGATATTTGAAATATTGCCAGATTTTCCATTTTTCTTATATTATTAGTCACTTTGGTTTTTCAAATTAATCACCCTGTATATTCGGTCATTATTGGAATCTCCTATTCAATATGAGTTCAGCCATATGTAACACTTATAATTTTATGAAGTCTAGAAGGTCTCAAATAAATAAAACAGAAGTCTGGCAACGCCTAATTATCTCAATAAATTTTTTAATACAAACTATTTTCAACTACATTAGACATAACAATTGAAAGATTACAACATTTTTAACATAATGGTTTATCAAGTGTTCAAAATGTGCTCCATTTTTGAGTTGCCAGTACCCTAATTGATGGTAGAATGCATATACCACATTTCTCCATGATTTTATTTGAGACCTTCCAGACTTCATAAAATTATAAGTGTTACATATGGTTGAACTCGTATTGAATAGGAGATTCCAATAAAGACCGAATATATAGGGTGATTAATTTGAAAAACCAAAGTGACTAATAATATAAGAAAAATGGAAAATCTGGCAACATTTCAAATATCAAATCTGGAATCTCCGTATCCCCTAATAGGTGTACCCCAAATTTTGTACAATTAGGACTATTACTTTATGAGATAATTGACCGTTTCCAGACTTTTGGGCCACTCCGTATATAAAATTCTTTGTCCTGACTGACTGACTGACTGACCTATCAACGTACAGCCAAAACTACTGAGCCTAGAAAGCTGAAATTTGGAACATAGGTTTATTTTATAACCTAAGCATCCGCTAAGAATTTCTGGATTTTTTGAAATTTTAACTTTAAAAGAGGGGAAATGGGAGGAAATGGGGAAGGGAGCTTTTAATGAAACTCTTTGTTCTTTAAAGTTAGAAACATGAAAATTTAAATTACAGCTACTAAGTATAAATAAGTAATAACGTGTTTCAGGGTTTGTGGATTTTCACATTTTAAGGAGGGAAACGGAGGGTGAAAATTTGTTTGAAACTATGTATATCTTTTTTTGTTCCTTAAAGTTAAAAACAAATAAAAAATAAATAAAAATAAATAAAAATAAATAAAAATAAATAAAAATAAATAAAAATAAATAAAAATAAATAAAAATAAATAAAAATAAATAAAAATAAATAAAAATAAATAAAAATAAATAAAAATAAATAAAAATAAATAAAAATAAATAAAAATAAATAAAAATAAATAAAAATAAATAAAAATAAATAAAAATAAATAAAAATAAATAAAAATAAATAAAAATAAATAAAAATAAATAAAAATAAATAAAAATAAATAAAAATAAATAAAAATAAATAAAAATAAATAAAAATAAATAAAAATAAATAAAAATAAATAAAAATAAATAAAAATAAATAAAAATAAATAAAAATAAATAAAAATAAATAAAAATAAATAAAAATAAATAAAAATAAATAAAAATAAATAAAAATAAATAAAAATAAATAAAAATAAATAAAAATAAATAAAAATAAATAAAAATAAATAAAAATAAATAAAAATAAATAAAAATAAATAAAAATAAATAAAAATAAATAAAAATAAATAAAAATAAATAAAAATAAATAAAAATAAATAAAAATAAATAAAAATAAATAAAAATAAATAAAAATAAATAAAAATAAATAAAAATAAATAAAAATAAATAAAAATAAATAAAAATAAATAAAAATAAATAAAAATAAATAAAAATAAATAAAAATAAATAAAAATAAATAAAAATAAATAAAAATAAATAAAAATAAATAAAAATAAGTACTGCGTGCAATCTGGTGATATTAGCAGATGAGAGAGCCGTACCAGAAATGTGGTATAAAAGGAGATTATCAATTAGATTAATATATTTAAATATTAGAATAGTCTAATTAACATTAATCTATACTATCACATACATACCGTATACAGTAAAACAACATATTATCGCGTCTTTTTTTAGGAAGTCATGCATTTTTTTATACTAAAAACACGACTCCACGCGTGCGAAGCCGCGGGCAACAGCTAGTGAATATATATAAAAAATGTTTCGAGTAAGATGTATGTGGAAAACGTATATTTTTAGTTCATCCTCTAAACGTTTACAGGGGTGACACAATAGGTTGTATAGAATAACCGGAAAAAGCATGTAATAACGAGACATGAAAGTCATGTGTTGTACACATATAGTTTCTTGTAATACTTTTACATATTAATGGGTATTTTAGGTATATTTCTTGTTTAAAAACATGTCATTTCAATTACGGTGCCATGGCACACTTGACTGTCAAAATAAAGCGCTTTTAAAACATGATCATGTTGCAGGTTTCGGTATCGAAATATTTTTCTATCATTGTGAGCGAGCGGCCTTGCAAAATTTATAAATAGTGTTAATATTCGGAAATATAGGTTCCGAGTTATTATTTAAAAAAAATTCATTAGTGAAACTATGTAGGTACACAAAAATACCTAAATTTGAAAGAATATAAATACGATAAATTTTATTACAAAACAAACGAATAAGAAGAGTAGATATTAAAATAATATTTTTTTACTTATAAAAAGTTTCGGATCGTAAAGTTTGTTTTTAATGTCTTCTCCGGTCGGATACTTTATTTAACGACGACCGTCTACACAAAATTTTTGGAGACATATAGGCACCTCTACAAGTAATTTAACAAGATTAAAATCGATATTAGTACGGGGATATACACCAAGAAAAATACATTGAATAATAAGCAAAAGTTCCGGTGTATCAATTTATCAATTTTTTCAGAAGAAGAAAAGAAGAAGTTAAAGAATAAGAGATATATAAAAAAAAGGAAAAAAAGGGAAAAAAAGGAAAAAAAATGAATAAAGAGAAAAAAAGAAGAAACAATAAAAAGAGGAAGGAAAAGAAAAATAAAAAGAAGAGAAAAGAAGAAAAAGAAAGAAAAACGCAGGAGAAAAAGAAAAAAAACTGATGAACCCTTTGAGCTTTAACTAACCTTTTTACTGCTAGTATTGTTGTACATGTGATATGCCTGCATGGTTTCCTGTTCTCTTCTGGACCTCCTCTCCGAACTTTCCCGCGGCGGACTCGAGGAACTGCCCACGCTGCTTACGCTAGCTCCATCAGCGTTTCGTCTATCTCGGCCGCCTTCAATGTCGCACTCCGAGGGTGTATCGCTGTCGGAAAACCTACAACGTTAGAGAAATCACTCTTCATGATTAATATGATAATTTATCATTTCTTTTTTGTTTATTTTTTAAAATCTGACATTAGTCTTAGTTACCAGAATGTCATAAAAAAATAAAAATAAATGTCAAATGTTATAAATTGATATTAGATTAGAATAAATTTGTTTAACTTTCCCCACATCGACTTCTGATCAACATCAAACCATCAGTTCTACTATTCAGTGACTTAAAACAAGCAGAGAAAATGAAATCACTCTACAACAGGTAAATCTTGAAAATTGGTATTACAGTTCGACTATGTCGTGGCTCATTTAAAAATTGTTACTTGTTTGACCTGTTTTACTAGATTTAGTTCCTCTCAAAAAAGCTCCTGCTATAATTTAATGACGCTTAATATTTATTTTTACGAATAAGGATTTTTATCGGTAAAATTTGTTCCACGGTTAATTATAATACGTGCTAAATATCGTAATATAATTCTCTAATGTTTTAGTCATTTCTGCTCTGGTTAACGTTATTTTTTTAAAGAATATAGAATTACATATCTCGTAAAAGCATTGACGATAAATAAAGCGTGTCTAAAACCATCTGTGGTTATTTGTTATTTTAAACTACTGCTCAACACAATCAATAGGAATTGTATGAAAGGAAATATTTATTTTCTCTTCTCGTTACCGACAAACGGTACATGTGATAATTAATGACTTGGTCACTAGATAGCTTTATTTTTAACTCAGTGGTATTTATTATTGAATGGTTATTTCCAAACTTAAACAAATTTAACAATAAAAGTTTAAGTTTATCTGTGTTTTGTTTTTCTAAGCTTTTCTCAGCCGGTTATTGATAGAGATAATATAAATTCCTTTTAATGAAGAAAACATTTTTTTTCTCATCGACTTTCTACCCAAATTCAAAATTAAACGAATGCAAATAAACACACTATCTGTCCAAAATAGCGTAGTAGACCACTGCTAAATTGTCCACATCATAAAAATTTTGGAACCTATACCATTGCATTCAATTTTTAATAGTATTTTACTATTTTTAAAAGTTACACCTTTTAACGTTATCAGTGCTCTAAATTACAATTGAAAGTTTTTGCCATTCTACATTTCTCTCGATATCTATCAGATAGTTGAATTATAAATTTATTCCAAAAAAAATTATCAAAATCAATAAATAATATAATTTATTCGAGAGCTAGATGGTTAAGTTTCTTTTTAAAACAATAAGCTCCTTAGTGGTAATATTTTTTTTAAACACGAAAATAACATTTCTATCGGCTACATTCAATTATTTGCCTCTATACGATGACGGTGTTTCAAATGAATACCATCAATATCGCCAATAACAATTTCAAACAATTAATCAACTAATTTAACGAATTAATAAGCTTGGAAATACTCACAGGAATAGTCAACCCCCAGGTACTTCCGTGATACTTTTAGTGAGTGAATCCTACTTCTAATGTTAGATTTTATTAATTATTAAGTCAAATAATTATTTAGTTACCAAGTGATTACAGATAGAACACAATGCCAACAGCAATAACAGCTGATCACACTAGACACTCAAGGCGACTCAAATCATTCTGACTGGAGGAGCGCTGACGACGGTCCGCTACTATCGCCTCAGTTCCCCGCACTCCCCGCTCTTGACTGCCGATGTTCTTTACCATACCACAAATAACAAAAATTTGTTTACCTGCTAACATGTACACTTATTTAGCGATTCTCTCCAAAAAAATATTTGTTTCAAGCAAAATCTGTCTATAACAATACATAAAATCAAATGATCAACTTATCAGAAATAAGTACGCTGCACCAAATATACACGATTAATAACCACTTTCAAACTTTGACGTTTCTAATTCAACTAAACAAGATAGATGGCATGTACATATTATGAACTATTACTGTTGTCAAATCTATTATAAATCTGATGACAAGAAGGAATTTAAATTCGGTGTATCCTTAGATTTTCTAACCTCTTTGGGTGTTTCATAGGTTTGATCCAACAACAATCATAAACCAGTCATTGCCACCAGGATTCTGTAGATTATTAGGACACCCAATTACATACTGCGCAGAATCCTGGTGCCAATGACTGGTTTCGGATCATTGATGGAACAAACTTCATGTCTCTCGTAAGAATCAAGTGTCCCCAGCTTTCCCTACACAAATAACTATTTTAGTGGTAAATATTTTCACCGCTAGTATAATAAAAGTAATTATCAAAAATATGTCCCTACTTATTTGCGAATCACTGAGTAGAGGAAAATATTTTTGACTCCTTTTTATACTCGTAGAATTCCAAAAGATGTTGCAATAAGATTAACCACAAAAAATTAAATCGTTTAGCTTTCTCCTAGGGCAGTGGTCGCCAACCTCTCAATGTGTTGAGCTACTTTGTTAATTTTGGAATAAACAGCGAGCTACCCACACGGAAGCCACGTAACGCAACGTAAATGAAATAATCAGTAGTAATACTATAAGTACTTCAAAATAATCAGGTTATACATCGATAACTTGTTGCATAATTATAAAGAGTGTCAGTTTGACAGTTTAAATAATCCGACCGCGAAGCGGGAGGATTATTCTGTCAAACTGACACGATTTGTAATTATGCAGGAAGTTTGAGCGAGATTCTTGGATGAAATGTTGAAAAGGGTTAATTATAACTAAATTCACATTGTATTCCATTTGGAGGGAGTCACTTTGAGCAGCTTTTATAATAGCTTTTTTTTCATTTTTTAATACACTAATATTGCATTCTAAAAAAAAATAAAATAACTTATATTTGGCTCATATTTTTTTCATTCAAATATAAAATATCTTCTAAACTGTTGTGTTTAGGGATAGGGACAAACGAACGTATAATTAAAGTACTTTTAGTAGAGATATGAAATACAGGGTGAAACTAACCTTAAAAGTAAAGAAAGTAAATTCAGTTGATAATAAATTGTAGCTAGGTACTTTAAAAATATAAACTGATTAAACAGTATATTTTAACAGGAGTTTAAATCAAATTACATTGTGAATTTAGTTATAATTAACCCTTTTTAACATTTCATCTAAGAATCTCGCTGAACTGTTGTGTTAGGCAATATTTAACTCAAAAGAACGTATAATTAGAGTACTTTTTAGTAGTGATATGAAATACAGGGTGTTACATTTAAAAAAAATTGAGAAAATCATGTATCTGAGTTTTGACTCACCCTGTACACGTTTGTTGCTCTAGGAAAAAATTAGTATATTCTTATAAAAGTAGATTATCATTAAAAATGATTCATCAAAAAATTTTGATGTTCTATTGTTTCTTTCGAAATATACAGAGGGTTGAACCTAGTACGATTTTCATATTTTTTTTTCCTGTGCTCGTCTATGTGTCTCCGAATAACACTGAAGCCTATTGGCTTATTGTGTTTTACCCCATGTTAGTTCATAGCACCCACTCTATCACCTTTGTACCTTGTACAAGTTTGTACAGATCCTTGGGTGAGTGGGTTCTATACGTTGTTGGATCAACCTGGGGTTGTCCAAAAAGAGCCTGTCTTTTGCGATCTAGAGCTTCGCATTCGCACAGTATGTGTTTGGCCGTTTCTGGTTTCTTGTGACATAGTCGGCACATGAGTTCCCCATTGTACATGCCAATTTTGTTCAAGTGTCCCTTTACTGGGGCGTGCCCAGTCATGAACCCTGTTATCACTTTCAACTGGTTCCTATTCATTAAGAGTAGTTCTCCAGTTCTTTTGGGACATGGTCTGCTTATGAAGGCTTTTCCATGTGCCTGTTTTGGGGTGCTTCCCCAATAGTTGATATGTTGTTCCCGAATGCAGTCCCGATTTTCATATAAAATTGGTTTAAACTTCCAAAATACCCAGTATAACATGTTGGTATTTTCTTAAAGGGCAAAGTCAGTGGAATTCAACTTTACAATTAAATACAAGGTGGTCCATTTAAAATAATATAAGTTTGATCAATTCTGAAGTTATGGATCACTCTGTATAATCGAAAATAATTTAGAAATGTGCAGATTAATATTATCTATAACTTTTGTAAATAACATTGTTTGATATTTTCTATAATATAGGATATATCGAACTTCCACACACTATTGGGACACCCTGTATTTAAACGGGAACTTGTGAAATTGAACTCGATCTGGCATGTAAGGACCACGAAGAAACATGTACAAGTTGTTGCCACAACCTCTTTGAATGTTCTTTAAACCTTGAAAAAACGTTCTTTGGACTATGGTTTCCTTCAGAATAATAATTAAGATACTTGTTTTTTGACATTTAGATATCTTTATCATCGTCGGTTATAAATAGATAGGAGTAAATTTAGCCCAGAACACTATGACAGTTTGGCTCTATTGTATTTCTCTACTTTCCCCGTTTTCAGGTATTATATTCGAATGGGGCATGTTCAAAAATTTTGAAATTTTTTTTATGAATAGTAGAGTTAAAAATAAAACTACATTTTTTTTATTTTTTTTTTATCTATTCATTTGCCGGAGTTATGAATTTTTTAAAAATTTATGACGTCACCGGGAATAGACCAATAGGAGCTAGCGCACAACGTTGCCGGCTAGAAGGTTTACGAGAAGTGATGTACGTTCGTTTGTGTACTCCTTCTTACTTTTAGACTTCTAAAACATCGTTAAACAAATATCTTTTAAATATATAATATCAAATGTGTTTTGAAAGTATTATTTCTGTTTAAACTTTTACCATATTTAACGTTTCATTGTTTTCAAAGTCACTTAATAATTCAGAAAATGGCAAAATGGCAGCACTGTGTATGGCAGCACTGTGTATGGCATCTGTCATCATAGTGTCTCGATCAAGAATTTATTTGGAATTTGAGTGTTTAATTTTGTACTTTTTATAAATATTATGACTACGAAAAAGTGTTTTGTTCCAGAATGTGATAATGATTCGCATTCATTTTCAAAAATATTTATTAGTGTTCCTAGAAATTTGG